CCCTCCCTCCCTCCCTCCTCCCTCCCTCCTGAGAGCCAGTGTTCATTGTTCAAGGAGAAGTAAACACTTACTCGGTCTTGAGTTGGACTTCCTCGTTCTCAGGCGCGCAGCCCAAAGCGTACGTGTAGTCGCGTCGCTTCATCTCGTCCGTGGATAGCTTGAGCTTCTTGAGCAGGTCCTTGTAGACCTCGTCGGTATGAGAGTCCGTGAGACCCTTGCACAGCGCCAAGCGCGCCGTGTCCGGCTCCATGCGAGAGTTGAGGAACGCCAGCGATGCATCGGTTACAGCTAGGAAGAGGTTGGCTTCAAACGCGACCTGAACCACGACGGAGCGAGTCAGCTTGTCCTCGAACGTGTCCTTGTCGGAGGACGAGAAGTCCAGATCATGGTACGCCCTCTCGGTCAGTCCGGCCACCCACCTCTGGAGGGAAAAGGAGAGGGTCATCAGCAGCTGCCCGAGGTCCGCGCAGAAGTACGAGTTGGCGCCGCACTCACGTCGAAGAGTGAAGCGATCTCGCCACCCGCCGCGCGGCAGTGGAGCGCCAGGTACTCGACGCTGCTGGCAAAGGCGGCCCAGGGGGCGTACTGGCGCTCGGCGACCAGGTACCCCTGCAGCGAGAGGGCGGTCTCGTACGACAGCTTGCCGGCGCGCGCCAGAGTCAGCGCGTCGTCCACCAGCATGGCCCTCTCCGGCACGGTCAGGGACCCCACGTCGCTGACGAGGGTGTCGGTGAGCGCCTTCCAGCCGTCGTTGTCATAGTTGACGCGGTAGTAACCTGCAAGAGCAGATTACTTATGCTAACTTCAGAGTTCCAGGCTAGCGACACACTGCAGGGGGGCTGCGCCGAGCGCTGCGCACTGCGCGCGGGACGCACCAAGCTGATCCACGTTGAACAGGACCCAGGCGGCGTCCTTGGGGATCCCGGAGATGGAGCCGGACTCCTCGGTCAGGAACGACCGGGAGACTACTGTCGTGCCCGGAGCCTTCCAAGTGAGTGGCACCGGCCAGGTCACCGGGGTCGGCGGATTCGCGGGCTCTTCGGAGAGGAAGCGGACCTGTACAGAGGACGCCGTCAGCGGTGGGGGGAGGGCGGGCGGGGCCTCAAGGACCGAGCTTGGGCCTCGACGCTCACCTGAGCGACGGAGGCGGTGTCGCCCGTCCTGGTGACGGTGATGACGGGGTAGCCGGCCTGCTCCGTCCACTTCTTGCCCAGGTCCGTCACGGACAGACCGCCCGGCAAGGTCACGCCGACACTCTCCAGCCCCTGCCAGAGATCGTCAGGCTCGACGACCCCGGACTGTTTCCTGGAGACGGTAGGTTCCAATCCAGATAATCTGTACTTTTAATTCCCCCCCCCCCCCCTCGCCACCGTGCGGTGCTTACTTTGCATTCAGGTAGCTCTGCAGGCCCTTGCGGAAGGAGTCGGCGGAGACGCTGTCCATGGTGTCCCTCAGCATCCTGAGCACCGAAGAGCCTGCAGCCGTCAGAACCAGAACAGACCCGTCATAGACCCGTCGTCAGAACGCGACGCCCTTGAGATCCGGGAGACTTGCCTTTGGCGTACGTGATGGAGCCGAAATTGTCCAGGATCTCGTCGGGTGTGTAAATGTTCTCGTTCGTCATCGGGGCCGAGGAGATCAACGAGTCCTCCACGAAGGCGTCGTGCATCTCCATGAGCGGCATCTTGTCGAGGACCTTCCATTCGGGGTTGATCTGCGTGTTGAATTCGTTAGCGGGTCAGTCGCGGGTCTGATCGGAAACTCGGTTCCGCGCGGGCAGAACTGGGAGGATCGACACTGTCGTTTTACTTGAACGTGCCCACCTTGTCCGTCATGAGGTAGCAGAACAACTCGGCGAAGGCCTCGCTCAGCCAAACATGACCCCACCAGCTGGGGGTGACGAGGTTGCCGAACCACTGGTGCGCCAGCTCGTGAGCGATGGTAGTGGTCACGCTGAGGTTGGTGGTGGAGCGAGAGTCAGCGCCGGCCAGGAGGAGGCCTTGTCTGGGGAAGATGACAGGTGCATGACATGATAATGAAGGCCATAAAAATCAAAAACCCGTGGGGACTCGTCGCGGTGGAATCAAGGGACCCGCGGCTCAGCGCGCTGCCGGTCGGGGGCGCCAGGGTCTATCTTTCTAATCCGATGGAAGCATTAGTGTGGCCTGGCCTGCGGCCCCTCGCTTGTCCACTCCGCTCTTATCTAGCGATGGGCTCCCGTGGGATACCGTGTGAGTGCAACCGCGTGTAGTGCAATTGAAAAAAAAAATACAACTGTGGGGTGTACACCCAGAAAAATCGTTTCTTGTTTCAAGGAACTTTTTTCCTTGTTTCAAGTGCACGCTGACACAAGATCAGCTTTACTCTTGAAACAAGCTGATATATTCTTTCGAATGGGACAAAATTGCCTTGTTTCAATGGTGAATTTCATCTTGTGCTAGCTTGCACTTGAATTAAGGAACTATATTTCTGGGTGTGCTTTTTTTTTAAATTCCTCGGCGGCGGTCGTCTCGCCGAGGGCCAAGAAGCCCTGCCACGTGAAGCTCACCGGTACGTGACGAGGCCCCAGTTCTCCATGGCGCCGAAGTTGAAGTCCGGGAGGGCGGCCTGGTCCATCTTGTCGAGCGCGTACTCGATGCCGGTGTAGTCCGCCATGCCGGCGAGCACCTGCGGCCCGACGGACTGCGACAGCGACGTGTCGTCGATGTACTTCGGCTGGGCGTACGTGGCGAAGGGGAAGTCGCCGTCGGCGCTGGCCACGCTCGGCATCCGGGACACGAGCCAGGCGAGCGTGTACACGGCCATGGCGGGCGTCGCCTCGAACGTCGTCTTGGCGTGCGTCGCGCTGCAGAGCGGGAGGTTCTTAGACTTATACAGGGGTGGCGTGAGGGAGACGGCGTGAGTAAGATGGGTAGCAGCCCCCCCCCCCCCCCTTCCCTCCCTTTCCCATTACCGTGACATCGTCCAAAAATGAATTCTATAACAGTTTCCTGGTTTGAAGTCTAGACCAGTTCTATTTTGCTCGTTGGGGTACCCGTCTCTGCTCGCCATCCAAACCACGTATTATTCGGACTCGAGGACTTCGGTGAGGTGCATACATACTTGACGGACACGATGACCGCCGGCTGGGTGTTGGAGACGGCGCTCTCCTCGACGTGGTGCGTGATGGCGAGGGCGAACGTGGCGCGGTAGCCGGGCTCGTCGAAGCACGGCAGCGCCCGGCGGGCGAACGTCATCTCGAACTGGGTGACGCCGATGCTGTGAAAGAGGAAGCCAGGGCGGGTGACTGTGAGCCGCTCATGGACAAGGACCCAACAACGCGGCCCACACTTGACTTATCCATCCACGCACTTGATTTTCACGCCCTTGCCGTCGTACTGGGACCGGTAGAATCCCTTGTCGTCCTCAAAGATCTTCCCCCGGTACTCGCAGTGCAGCACATGCACGGTGCCGGCCATGAGGTCGGTCTTTGCCGTGAAGCGGATGAAGTCCTTGCCATCCTTGCTGAGCTCGTGGTCCACCTCGTTGCCGTCCAAAGTGCACTTGTTGGAGGGGTCGATGTCGATGCTGCTGTCCGCGTGCAGCGTGAGAGGCTTGCCCTTCTCAATGAGCTTGTCCACCTGGGGGAATGTCAGGTTGGCGTTTAGCTCTGGACCGAGCGGCAGCTCAGCTCACAACCAGTTGGAGACGAATTTCGATCAAAGGTTTTGTTGAAAGTTTATATGCGCTCACAACCATCGGCCAGTGTATCAGCGTTTTGTTATGAGCCCCGACGAAAGAGGCGCCGGGCCCTTATGTCAAGTAAATCAGACCGACACTATGCGCGTCGCGTCCTGGTCGAGGCAGTTGACCTCTACTACCTGCAGGGTGATGTCGACAGTGCCCAGGAAGAAGAGCTTGTCGAGGTTCGAGCCGATGTGGATGTCGTAGTGCAGCGGGTGCGCGTCGCCAGGCAGGCGGTAGGAGGCGTCGCCCGCCTGCCCGAGAGCGGGGCGGGGCCGCAGCAGGTCGTGGGGTCGCGGGGGACCGACGAGCCGCTCCGGGGTGGCGAGCGCCGCGGGGGCGGAGCGGGCGGAGAGCACCGCCAGGACCAGGGTGCACCAGCAGGTGCACCAGCACCAGCGGGACGGACACGCCATGGTGCCTACTGGTCACGGCGCCGCGCCGAAGTGACGGCCGCCTGATCCTGATCCCCTGGGGGCCCACCGGGGCTTATCTGAAGAATCGCGCCTAGCCTTATTATCTCCACGATAAATAACCCGCGATCGCGATAGGTTACCAGAGCCTATCTATCTCCCCCTCCCTAAAATCAACCACTGCTTCGGAGATTTTGCATGTTCCGATGACAATGCGATTAACATCATCAGACCGCCGCCAGACCCGAGGTCAGACCCTATCCCTGGGCCGGAATGAACCCCAAATTGATGTCTTTTCATAACACAAGGGTGGGCTCCTTGAAGCCTCTCATCGCTTTGCACACCCGTAAAAGTTTTACTCCGGATCTTTCACAATCGGATATTTTA